CCCATGCATGTCCATGGATGACATTAACCAGACAAAACGAGAGTGTAGCGTTATGTCGTGTTCTAATTTTGTGGTGCCACGATCGGCTTAGAAATGGCAGGTTGTACGTACCGATCTGGTACCAACAGCGCCCATGCTTGAGGAATAAAAGCATCTACATCTTCTCTCTCAAAAAAAAAAAGGAATCTACATCCAAGACTTCTCAAATTGATTGGACACACTGATCACTAAGAACACCAAGAGAATCTCTAGCGGACCCCTTAAAACCGCAAACTATAAAACTAAAAAACGAGTCAAAAAAATGCATTTTAAGGGTTCATTTTAGCTACGGCTGAATAGATAATATAAAACAAACTGTAAAACTAGAATAAAGAGCTCCTTCTTTCGGTCCGGCCGCTGCCGCCCCTTCCCCTAGCCGGCCGCGTCCAACCCCGCCGGCCGTGCCCCGTCGCCCGTCGGCCGCACCCAGCCTCGCCGGCCGTGCCCCGTCGCCCGTCGGCCGCGCCTAGCCTCGTCGTGCCCCTTTGTCCGCCGCGCCAGGAGGATTTCGGTGGCCAGGCCAAGGTCATGGGAGGCCACGGCGATGTCGAGCTCGTCCAATTCGAACCGGCGATGATCGGTTGCGGCGTCTAACGGCCTTTTCCGATGTGCGGTGATGAATTCCGACGAGTTTAGGGTAGATTCCGGCAAACTTCGTGACGGCGTGTTTGCTCCGACGAGGTTTGACGGTATACGGGCCCCCCTAGATTCGGCTTTCCAACCTCCAAACATAAGGGTTCTGGGTGTGCATTTTCGGTGACCCTTAAAAAATTTACGGGTTAGACCACTTTTACGGTTCTGATACGGACACTTATTTTGATCAAAACTCTAGAATGCAAAAATTATAAGGGTTTGACCATTTATACGGGGTCTGCTAAAGATGTTCTAAACGAACAAAAGGGAGTAAAAGAAAATCCAATCAAATATCTCAAAGGCTTCTTAAATGATCGGATTGTCCGACGGCCCTCATATTACCCTCATATAGGAGATGAGTATGAGGAGTGATCGGACATGTTCGGTGAGTGGTCCTGCGTCGGCCACATATGATTTGACCCACCATAAAGCACATTTTGTTATATTTATTAATCCCTCTCTTGACTTCTATAAGACATTTTAGATGGTTCAGACAATGCCCAAAACAGTTCAGAACTAACCTCTCCATTTCTCAATATAAGTCTTTTTAGAGATTTAATTTGAACTACATATGCAACAAAATGAGTGAATCAACACTCTAAAATATTTTATATACATCCGTATGTAAACTATATTAAAACTATAGAACGACTTATATTTAGGAATTGATGGAGTAGTTGTCTAAAACGTCTTATAAAAACATCTGGAGGGAGTATTTCTTTTCTTTCCCTCTCCTTCTCTAGCAATCATATGCATATGTCCGGACATATAGAAAAAAAAATGAGGGCCATAACTGCATGATCGGACAAACAGAGAGACAAAACGGACATGGGCACGTCTATGGATGTTTGAGGGGTCAAATTTGCCTAATCCGACTGTGGATGCTCTAAGAGGAACGCGGGAATTGCACTCGAATTTGCTCCAACCCGGTGGGATTCAGGACGGATTCTCAACCTCCGGCCAGGCGAAAGTGATGAAGTTTTTGGCAGCAAGTCAAGAACCCAACCGACGGCGGCAGCGACACGGCTCCTCCTCCTCGTCGTGCACGCGGCGAGCGGCGAGCGGCGTGTCCCCCTGAGCAAAGACCGATGCGATGCCTCCGAATCTCAAGCTTTCTTCCACTATCAACGAACCTTTCCCTTGGCCGCATCCACAAATATGGCGCATGGGGGCAAAGAACTTCACATGCGTGATAATGATAATCGATACTGGTAGATACTACTCGGGACGTGCTGTGTGGAGGTGCCCTGTATTGTATTCTAGGCCACGTTCCGCTGCTAGTCTTTCGGCCATTCGTTCGGTCGGTGCGTCACATGACCGGTTGGCCGATGCTCCAGAGACAAAGGAAAAAAGAATTGAAGATACTAATGTACATGCTGATCCTTTCTTCAGAGGTTGCTGTATGAGAGCGGCAGTCTGTGCATGAGGACCACCGATGAAGAAATGCAGAGATATGAACGCGGGCCAAATGGCCGGACGGATTGGCCGGCCGCCGGCCACCGCGTGGCGGCACAAGGGCGTCCGTGGCACGTCTCCTCGGCATTCACTTCTGAATGTGTCCGTTGGGTAGTCTCCCTGCATTCAATCTGAATGTGTCCGTTGGTTTGGCCTTGCCAAATCACGCGCGACTTCGGTTCGTGCCTGGCAGATTGACACATGTCCAGCGTACCCCGTGGCTTCCAAGAACATGCTGCGCATAAATAATCCAAGAAAGCGATCGCTCTGTTGCGCGGGATTTCAAATCCGAATTCGAACTACGCGCACACACAGTGGGTGGGGGGTGGGGGGATACGTTGCAAAAGAGAAGCTGTCATTCTTCGTGTTTCAGCAAATGGGATGCCCCCTCTAGATTTTGTTACGAAATGGGAGTACTGTTTTTTTTAAGAAACACATCATGGACACAAACGCTGGCATACACGTGTGTGCACTCACTCCTATGAACGTATGCACGCACATCATGGCACTATATCTGTATAAGCATCTCTGAAAGACTAACCCGCCTGATTTTAAGATAGAAGAAGTACCACAGACGTCTTGTAGTTGACCGACATGTATCACTGAGAAGTTGTCCACAAGTTGTAAGTTTAGCAACGAGCATTTTTTTGGTCGACCTTGCAGCCATTCGATTATTGGGCTAGTCTCATGTGCGTGGGTAAGTTCTTGACCTTGTGCAGCAGGGTGGACCAGTAGCGACGACATGCTTCAGCCAAGACCTAGGCAGCCTTTGAGCACCGTAGCATTGTGCTACAATACTTGCTACATGTACAAGTTAAATGAGCTTCACGCCCCAGGCAGCGGCCCGGACTGCTTGGGGCCTGGCACCGTCACTTGGGCGGAAGATACATTCCTGACACATAAATGAGTTTTTGCTTGTCAAAGAAAGAAACTGAAGAGCGGAAGAGCAAGTTCGAAGTTCATAAGCATCAGGCATGACCAGACTCGATTCTCGCCGGTACCGCACGGGTCGATTAGGCTACAAGAATTGTGGGGGTCCAAGAGAGGAGATCACTCGGTAACTTCTTCGAGCTCCGGATTTGGTGCTCAGAAGAAAGTATCGAAGAGAAAACATAAAACCAGTATTTTTTTTATCTGCACACTGCGAGAAGTTGTCATTCTTCGTGTTTCGGCAAATGGTATGTCCCCTCTTGATTTTGTTACGAAATGGAGTACTAAATAAAAAAAACACATCATAGACACAAACACTGACATACACGTGTGTGCACTCACTCCTACGAACGTATGTATGCACATCATGACACCATATCTGTATGAGCACCTCTGAGAGACTGGCCTGCCTGATTTTGAGATAGATGAAGTACCACAGACATGTATCGCTTAGAATTTTTCCACAAGTTGTAAGTTTATCACTGAGCATGTGTTTGGTTGATCTTGCAGGCATTCGATTATCGGGCTAGCCTCATGTGCGTGGTTAAGTTCTTGACCCTGTGCAACCAGGCGGAACAATGGCGGCGACATGATTCAGTGAAAACCTAGGCAACCTTTGAGCATTGTAGCGATGTGCTACATTGCTTGCCACAACTACAAATTAAATGAGCCTCACGCCCTAGGCAGCTGCCCGAGCTGCTTGGGTCCTGACGCCGTCACTTGAGCGGAAGATACATTGCTGGCACATAAATGATATTTTCCATGCCAAAGAAAGAAACTCAAGAGCAAGTTCCAGGTTCATAAGCATCAGGCATGACTAGACTCGATTCTCTCAGGTAGCACGGGTCGATTAAGCTACATGAATTGTGGGGGTCGAAGAGAGGGGATCACCCGGTAAACTTCTTCGAGCTTCGGATTTGGTGCTCTTCTCGACGGACCGCCAAGCCGTTTCATAATAACCAAACTCTATCGATTCTCTCCCGTAGCACCGGTCGATTAGGCTACATGAATTGTTGGAGTCAAAGAGAGGGGACCACCCGGTAACTTCTTCGAGCTCCGGATTTGCTGCTCTTCTCGACGGACCGCCAAGCCGTTTGATCCTCTTCGCTGGCTGGGCGTGCTTTGAGAATGTATCAACAACAATGAGTAAATGAGAAATTGAGAATGCAGTTATACCAACATTTATACCTCAATAAAAAATATTTGTACTACCAACATTTATTTCTCAATAGGTGGCTGGTAGTTGCCTGAAACAAATTACTCAGGTCCCAGGTCAGGCTCCCCGCCCTCTGGGTTATGCAGTTAACGCAGGCCCTCCGCCCTCTGGGTGATTTAGCTTCACTTGTTCTGCAACATTGGCACACCAGTGCTGGCCTTGCACCTTGCAGCGAGTGAACCAAGTGAAGTCTCCTCCATCTCGACTCAGTAGGCAACACATCACATGAACTATGCTTGCCATGATCACAAAAGAGTAGTGCTAGGCGCACGATGATCTTTTTATTTTACGACGTTCGCACGACAATGCTCAATCACCCTTCGGTCAAATCTATGCATCAATTGGAATCATGGGATTACAACATCGGACGTGAATTTGTACATATAGTCATACGCGTAGTGATTCCAGATCACAAATCACCTTGGAACATGACAGTAACAGGATGCAACAGGCATGGCATTTCATAGTCACGGGGCCATAACATTTAAAAGCACAAGTTTGGTAAATAATCCGAGCACCCGTTGGGCGCAATGCCTCACCAAATGTTATTTACTAAACGCTGGAAGCCGAGGGGGTGTCTGAAACACATTACTCTGAAACAGTATACTACAGTACGTACATAAAGCTCAAGTTCACCTTACAGGTGACCCACCAGGGAGGAATGCAACCGTGGGATTCACTTTTATTTTAAGTACGAGCTTAAACCCTTAGACCGCCATGGGACCCACTAGTTCTGCAGCATCGACACCGCCTCCTTGTCGGTGAACCAGGTGAATTCTCCATCATCAAGTATAGCCATCTCAACAGGGAGCAAATCAGATGTCTTCTTGTCCGAAATCGCCTTCTGCACTGCACCGGCTTTCCCAGCCCCAGTTACCACCATGGCGACATATGCGGACGAGTTGATCACCGGAAACGTGAATGTGATTCTCTGTGGTGGCGGCTTTGGAGAGTCCAAGATGTGGGTGACCCACTTCTTGTTCTCTTTAACAAGAGGATGGCCTGGGAAGAGAGAGGCGATGTGACCGTCAGGGCCCATGCCAAGAAGCTGGAGATCAAACCTGGGAAACCCAGTTGTCTTTGACATTGCAAGGACGCCATTCTTAACAAGTTGCTTCAAGATAGTTTCATAGTCCTCTGCTGCTCCCTCAGCAGACAAGGCATCATTGATAGCATACACTTGACCAGCAGGAATTGGTACCTACAAAGTAGAAGACATGACCCAGTTAAAGACTTCTCAATAGGTAGAAAGTTACATGTAGCTACAAAACTGATGAGAATGGAACAATTATACATAAGTAAGAATGTGTCACTATCTAAAGAACTGCAACTAAACATGTCACAGAAAATGAAAGTTGTATCACTTGAAAAAGCTGCAGATTTACAGGATTGATCTTTGCAAATGTTTTACCAGGTCACATAAACTGAACCTATGTAAGACCATATTTAGCCAGAACCGCATGTTATCTGTACCAGCTGTCTAGGTATTTTCCAACTGAAGCTAACATACCTACCCCAACTTGTTTGGGACTAAAGGCTTTGTTGTTGTTGTTGTTGTTGTTGTAAGCTAACATAAATATGGCGTTATGCCATACATGCAAATGACTTTGCACATCACTAGAATTTGTATGATAAATTAATAACATGAGTTTAATTATGATCTTCTTTAGCCAGGTATGCTGCACATGATTTTATATAGAAGTGCACGACAGGAGACACCATATGCTTTCATACTCACCAAATTTCTTACAAGGCATGGATTCATACACTCAGATATAGCTCCAAATCTATCCAAAGTTAACATGGTGAAGCTAAATGACCTGTTACCAAATCCAAGCATATAATCCTATTCCTTTACAACTCCCCGTCACTACAAGACACAAATTATGTCTTCCAAATGCCCTAAATTACCGTAGGAAAGACCTATATGGGTGGAAACCGGCAGTTGTTACCATAGATTCAAGCACGGCGGTCCACACTATCGAAAGGACTAACTAAACTTCTCGCAGAAAATGGAAGTTGCATCACTTGAAAAAGCTACAGATTTACAGGGTTGAATGTCACAAATGTAACTGAACTTATGTAAGATCACGTTTTGCAAGAATCACATGTTATCTGTACAGCTGATCACATGCATGATTTCCAACTGAAGTTAACATAAATATGACATGATGCCATACAAGCAAATGATTATGAGCATCGCTACAATTTGTACGATAAATTGATAACACAGGTTTAAATATGACCTTTTGTAGCCAGATATGTTGCGCATGGTTATATAGAAATGCACGGTGTGGAGGAGAGGGGCCATATGCTCTCACAAATATAATCGCTGAAATTCTTACTAGGCATGGATACACTCAAACAGCCCCAAATTTATTCGGAGGCTAACATGGTGAAGCTAAATGACCTGTTACCAATCCAGGCATTGCCATAATCCTGTTCCTCCATAACTCCCCATCACTTTCAAGCAAAAAATAAATAAATTATATCCTCCAAATGTCCTACCTTACCATAGGAAAGGCCTAAATGGGTAGATAACCGGCAGTTGAAAGGGGTAAATCTAGGAAGAACCCGTGGGGAATACCTTGGAGAGGAACCCATCCAGGGCGAGCTTGTAGTTGCTATCCTCGTGGTCCTTGGGCACGACCCTCTCGTCTACCCAGAACACATGCCACTTGCTCCAGTCAACCGTCTCCAGGTACGGCGCCTCCGTCAGCTTCCTGCGAAGCCAAAAGAAATCAGGGATCCTCACGCGATCCGGGAGACCCCGAGCAGCCAGAGAACGAGCGATCTCCGGGGAGGACGGGCGGGAACGAACCTGAGGGCGTAGATGAGGGATCCGCCGGAGAGCACGACGGTGACGGCGCCCCTCTCGGCGGCGAACTTCGCGGAAATATCCGCTGTGTACTTGGCCAGGGCCACCGCGAGGTTCTCCTCGGCGTCGAAGATGAGCAGGTCCCTCTTCGAGGAGGCGGCGGGGGCCGGGGCGGCCATCGCGGCGGCGGGGAGGAGGACGGGGGTCGTGCGCGCGGAGGAGAGGAGGCGGGGACGGGGGCAGGACCGGAGGCTCCGGACCGGGACGAGGGACGCCGGCGGCGAGCGGCGGCGGGCGAGGAGGGGAGGCAGGGAGGAAGATGCGGCGGCGGAGACGGAGACGGACATGGAGGTGGACATGTTATATGCGGGGTGTGGGGCTGGTGGCGGAGGCGACAGGTGGGTGGTGAGGCTCGCCGCGTTTTGTACCGTTGAGATCCTGATAGACGGCCGGCGTGCGGAGAAAGCCAGGCGAAGAAAGTGCGCCCAGCACTCCTCAAAATGTTCCAAATTCGCCGTTCCTTTGCCCGAGCAACTCAACGGCCGACCAAACTGATGGTGAATTTGACCGCCTTTTGTTCTTTTGGGTTAGTCAGGCAGACACGAGTGTCCGTTTCTGGGTCAGCACGTGCGCCCAACACTGATGCGACCCATTTCGACGGTGTAATAAAAAAGGACGGCCCCGCCACAAGGTCAGCTTAAAAAAAGATGACCGCCGTCGCTGACACGTGAGTCCGAGGTCATAAATTAAGCTGACCGGCAAGGTGACGGGTAGTTAGGCGACCGCCAGGTGGAGCCGCGGCGAACATCGAGAAGGCACGCGTGGTGTTCGTTCCGCGTCCGCACCGACGCATTTGGGGCGCAAATTTGGGCCGCAAATGCGTCGGCGCGGACGCAAAGCGGACGCGTTTTGGGTTTGGGTCGGCGCGTTAGTCCTCTTCTTTTGTCCGCGCGAATCCAAACGGACGGCGGCGGACGAAATAAGACGCCTCGTTGGAGTTGCTCTTGGGCCAATTAGTTTGCCAAGAATTTGTAAGAGAAATAGGAGTAGATGGATACTCATTGAAAATTATGTGTGTGTTTTGGCAAAAGATCAAAAACAGATTCAAAATATGTGATGGGCGAATATATTTTTTGGCAAGGCTAGTTTTGGCACCAAACAACATACATATATTCAACAACAAAAATACATACATACATTCATGGCTTGTTTCAAACGTAGGATAGACAATACAAGGAATGAAAACATAATGTTTGTGCAGATGTTAATAATCCCCCCAAATGGTAGAGAAATGGCAGAATTCCTATAGTTATTTATAAAGTTAATCAACGAACAAAAGGTCGCCTTGGGAACATTTCACAGATTCATTCCTATGGATTTTTTCTGTTCCAAGCAATTCTTAACTAAAAGTTGTTGTAAAGAACATTCTTAGCTTCTGTTTTATCCAAGGGATAAATGCCCTCAAGCTTTTACAAAGAATGATATGCCCAGAATTCAATGAGCAAAGTTACCACCAAAAGTTAATGCCAGTTTTATTACGCGACAACATAATAAAAACGGTAACATGGTACCACCAAATGCATCATTCAATAAACTTTTCGAACTTGTGTATCTTCCTTGCCATTGGCTCAATGCGTCACAATAATAACTAGGGGGATGCCAACGTCCAACCGTCAAACGTACATTATCCATGATCTCCATCTTTGAAACCTCTCCTTTATTCTCAAATAAAATTCTTCTTAAAGTCATTTATCCTCAAATAAAATTCTTCTTAAAGTCAATGAAGATAGTATGTATGACCGGCAAGATATTCTAACTCTGTGAGGTTTGCTTGGGACAAACAGTGGATTAACCTATCTATCATGTTT